TGGGAAAACCACTAAAGGATGCCATCGTCCCAGGACTGGTGTGGGACATGAGACTTGCCTCTGTGGGTCACTAGCTCCTCAGCGGCGGCGTTTGCTAGATTGAGGGTTCGCCAGTAGGACAGCATCATGCTGGATGAGGAGCCTCCATGTGCAAGAAGGTGAGACCCAAACTGGGTGACTGCTAAAATGACAAGCTGATCTGTATTGGAAGAAGGAAAGCCAGCGTGCTCCTTAGAGGCAAGGATGGCAAGACTTCATCTTACATGCTTTGGACATACTGTCACGAGAGACCAGTCGCTGGAGAAGGACACCATGCTGCGTAGAGTGGACATTGCAGCAAAGAAGAGAACGGTCTAAGATGAGATGGATTGTCACCGTGGCTGCCGCAGTGGGGTCAGGCATAGGAATAATTGTGAGGATGGCGCAGGAACATGTTTAGTTCTGTTGTGCACAGGGTCACTATGGGTCGGAGCAGACTCTGGCACCTAACAACGACAGCCACCAGACGGGACGCCTTTTAATGGACCATCGACCTTAACTAAAGCCATTTCCGCACCTCAGCCTTGTCCATCTCCAATAGGAGCCTTTGGTTCAGTTATTCATTTATGCAATAAATCCATAGTAAGTACCTATGGTACAAGAGACGCTGTGCTGATGCTGAACATAAACAAATACACGCTGCAGGACTGCTTCCTCCCATTTTAATTGGGAAAGGAGATGAAGGAGTCTCTGTGTTCAGCGCTGCTCCTTGTTAGAGCAAGCTGGGTGCTTCACAGACAAAGATAGCTCGGAGGTAAACAAATAATATATGGTGGTATTCATCAAGGTATTGGGACCGAGAAGGGTCCATCCTCCTAGAGGAATTGGGGAACTGAAGGTGGGTCTTGAAAATGAGTTTGTTTGCCATGCAAAAGCAAGCACTGGATGGGTCGTAGCTTCGGGCGGCTTCATGGGCAATTCCAATGCTTTGGCAGCGTCAAAAGGAATTGCTTTGCCAGAAAAGATGAGTAGCTCACTCTGCCCCACCCTTGGGTGGTGGGCGGCGAAGGGGCTCTGAGGATGGAACCGGATTGTGCAGGTACTCTGCCGCGGGAAGGAATTCCAGCCTGGGGAGCCGGTGGAGGCCACGAGAGACTTGTACCTGGCAAAGACCTTTCTGCTTGCTTCTTGTGAGGAGGGAGATCAGGGCGGAGAGAAGCTGCCAGCAGAGAGGCTATGGGGATGTTTGTTTGTTTTTTTGCATCAGTGCTGGTGAGGATGATTCATTGAAGGATCAGAAGTGGAAATTCCAGAAAGAACTGAGGTCCAACCAACAGCTTCTGGTGTGGGGGCTGGGTGGCTGAAAGACAGCCAGGGGAGAACGTGGAGAGAAAAATGTGAGGTTCCTAACTTGGCCTCTGAGTAACACCACCATCGGCAGAAAATGTGGAAGAAAGAGTCAGTTTATGGCACCAGAAAATAGGGCATCTATCTGCCCAGCTTCGTTTCAGCCCCACAATTGCAGCAGCCCTTGCATACATGCAGGTTGAGAGGAGCTGGTCCCTGGACGAGGGGTGGGGAGGCCTCCTGCTCAGGGATATGGCTGCCGGGAACCGGGTACCCTCATCGGAACTATTGGCTGCAGCGTAATCTGAATCATTGTTTAGTTTTCTGAAACCAGCGCAGGCACTCTGGGCACTCTCAGCTGCATGACTAACCCTTGAGAGAATCAGTATGGGACTTCTTTACATTTAATTGCTTCTACTTGTTTGGTGTGTGACCCAATTCATTCATTCTTGTTGAGAACCTGTGGGAAGACCCTGTCCCCTCTTGACCAAATGTACTTATTACTGCCATCCTTCTTTGAAGCACTCTTGATTAGGCACTGCAAACGGGCAACTGAAACCCCCTCTTGTATTTCTGCGTGGCTGAAATGCCCCCTGTTTGGGCTCCAGGACGGCCATCCAGGAGTGATTCTTGTCCTCAGAAGTTCAGCTGGCACCGTCCCTGCCTCCACAACTTCACCCCTACCTCTTTAGAGGTTTTTGGTCACACGCCCCTACTTCAGTAAGTTTACTTTAGTCAGTTCTTTTACCCAGAGACCCAAAAAGCAATGCTTTAACAAACATGGCTAAATCAATAAACGTGCTTTATCAGGGCTGGAATGGCTGGCAGATGTCTCAGAGCAAATATTGTCACAATTGTGCCACAGTTTTCTCCACCTCACTGCTGCGGGTACATGAGCAATGTTTCTAATGTGGTTAGCAAGTCTCCATTCAGACCAAAGGATCCAGCTGGTTCTCCCATATGAGGAGACTTCATCATTTTCATGGAAAACTGGAATGGCAAGACAATGGGATTTTGCCCCCTGGTGAAGGCCACTCATTCAGGTGGAAGCCTAATGGTGTGTTTGAACCTCATTGGGTGGGCTGAGCACTTCCATCCAGTTGAATTTTTTTTTTCCAGGACTTTGCTGATCATTGTGATCAGCTCCCTCTTTGTCCCCCCACTTTGCCCTTACCCTCATGGTATCTGTACTCCCATTACTGTTCCTGAGGGGTGTATCTGTCCTGGATTCCGCGTGTCAGGTGCTCTTATCTGTACCAGTGTACATGCTCCAGTCTAGCTGGATTTGTAAGGTAGAATTGGGGTCATGATAGTGGAAGGGAGGAAGCATTAAAGAAGCATTAAAGAACTAGAGGAATGTTGTGTGTTTTGTTGGTGCTTTACTGCACCAGGCTAGGTCGTGCCTTCCTTGTGACCCTTCTGTGAGGGGATGTCCAATTGTGTATAATTTTCGGGATTCCTCGGGACTTCATTTCTTTGCTCCCCTTTCTACTCTGTTGCTCTCCCTTCATGTTTTACCCAGGTGTGGTGGGGTCAGATCGGGCATAAATTGCTGCACTGTATCTCCAGTGTGGTCCCCTGTAGTGCTATGGGCCAGTGAGGCGACGCCATGTCTTATGGTGGGGCCCTATGTTCTTTTCTGTGCGTTGGCTGCTCTGAGCAGGAATATCATCCTCGGGCATTGGTGAGGCAGGAGGCATTCCACTCTCTGTAAGAGAGATCTTGAAATCCTCTTTTTGATGATGAATCAGACAATATTGCTCTTGGATTTGATATTTCCATCATAGCAGACCATAGGATTTCCTGAATCAGAATGGTCAGTACCAGTCCATTTCAGCTCACTAATGCCTACGATGTTGATCTTTTTGTGTTCTTCATTTTTGAAGACTTCCAAATTTCCTAGGTTTATATTTCATACATTTCATGTAACAGTTACTAATTGATCTTTTCAGCTGTTTCTTCTCATTTTGGATCGTGCCCCATCAGCAAATGAAAGCCCCAGAAACTTTGCTCCACCCAAACCATGAAGGCAGCTCTTTCCCACTTGTATTTTAAGGGCCTTCCAACCTGAGGGGCTCGTGTATCTGACCACGATCCACCGTTCTTTGTACGATTTTCAATGGTTAACCGGTCAGAAGTTAGCAATCTATGTCTTCTTTGTAGTCTTGCATATCCACTTGGTCTGGAATCTCACTATTTTCCCAAATATGGTGAGACCTTTGGGGAAATTCTCATTGTGCGTTGTTGCATTTGGGACATTCAGGCGGAGCAGTATGCAGTGGGCTTCACGAGTCTGCATTGCAGAAGTTCAGGGTCAGTGACCCTGCTGGTATTGCAACTGCCAGCATCACAGCAACACACAAGCCACCCAGATGGCAGACTCACAGACAAGTCTCTGTCTTCTGGCAGTTTCCGGCTTGTAGATGCATCATGATTCCTATCGTTGACTCCATCTTCGCGAGGTCCTCTGACCGCTATCTGTGTGTCTTCTTCCCATTCATAAAGGCACCCCTCATTGACTTCAGATCCGGTGGTCCTCTCACAGCTGTGTGTCTAATTCACATTCATAAAGGTACCTCTCATTGACTTCAGATCCGCCTTCTCCAGTATCCTCATGTTGCCTTAACAAGCAACGTCTTCCGGTGTCCAAGCAAACCTCTCTCAACAACCTCCAGTTTTCAACGTTCCTTTTCAACAGTAGCAGGTCTTGGGATTTGAATCTTCAAAGCTTTATGGGGAGGGACACAAAGGAATCCATACTGTGCTTTTCCCTCTTCTTGGCACTCTCTGTCTCCTGTGTACACTGTGGTAGACAGCGTATCTGTCTGATCTATTACACTTCGGTGAGAAAGAAAATTGATGGTAATCCTATGGATGATAATGAGAAAATAGAAACCTTTTCACTTGACAAGAGTATGTATTGATTCCCACGTATTTTATTCACGAATGTGAATTATGTCCAGTTCACTTGTGGCGTTCACTGTGATCCCAGATATGGCAAGACCTTCGGGGGAATTCTAGGAGTGCCCTTTGAATTTGGGGTTTTTCTCTGGTGCAGTACACAGTGGGCTTCACTGAGCTGGCTTGAACCGAAGTTCCTCACTAAGCATTTTGCACCCTGGGAAACATAGGGCAAAGCTTTTCTTCACCAAGGGTCCCCACTGCCACTGATTTGATTGAGACCCACAGTGACCCTCTAGGGGTTTCTAAGACGATGACTCTGTACTGTAGTAGGAAGCCTCACCTTTCTCCCACAGAGTGGCTGGTGAGTTTTAAGCCACCAACCTTTCTGTTACCACCCCAACACCTAACCGAGGTTCCTTTCACAAATTGAGTGGAAGTATATTTCATTTCCTTTGATGACTATAACCATTTATTCCCATCAGATCCTAAATTCACTGAAATCATCAACTGGGCAGAACCTATACTTGGGGAACCTTAACAAGCAAGTTTAGCCATTCACTCCATTGAGCACCGTGCTGAAGACTTGACGAAACGTTCATAAATGGCCTCCTTAGAGTCAGGAAATGCACCTCACACCAGAGCTAACGGGGACTTATTTGTAGGACTGCTTACTAGCCACATCTTCAGAAAGATGTCCTGAGGTTTCGCTTAATGACATTTGTTGAGTCCGCCTTGCTTACTCCTCGTGATGTTGTGTGCTTTTGGCCCAGAAACAGAAAAGATAGCACTGGAGGCAGGAAACGGATTACCATCCTGGAAGTTCAATGACCAGCTTTTCCCCTGTGATGTGTGTGGGAAAGTGTTTGGCCGACAGCAGACATTGTCTCGACACCTCTCGCTGCACACAGGTGAGTTGGGTCCTCGGCAGCTCTGCCTGCCCCTCCAGGGGTCACCTACTCATCTGCTATCAAGTAGTAAGAGAATTTTAACAGGGAGAGATGGAAACTTTTCCCTCTAACTTACGTAGGCGCGTTCGCCTGGCATGTATAAATAAGTCCCTGGAAAGGCTTTTTTATCTGTAGTGAATGGATTCATTGAGTTCCAAGTAGAGCCGATGAGAAAAGATGTGTGTTAAGATATCTTCCAGTTAAAACATTGGTGTGTATACAGTCCTCTCTCACTAGAGATAGATGTTTGCTCCAGACTGAACCATGAAACGGTCTCTTGTTCCTTCCTGTCTAGAGCGCTAAGCAATTTGCTGTTCTCATCTTGATTGGTGCAGAGGGGAGGGCTCCAGCACACCCCACTGGCTTTATCTGATCCCTGTGGGTGCGAGCAGGGAGGGGAGAGAGCACTGGGCCAGGGACACAATTACCGCCTTTCTCTGTGAGAGCAGAGAAATAGGTTTGATTCTGAGTGTTGGGGAGGGAAAGGCAACCAAGTTTTAAAAGGAGAAAGACAGTCCCATACTAAAACAGAACGCACTGCCTCGACTCGCTGCTGACTCGTGACGGTGACGCTCTCGGACAGGGTGGAACTGCCCCAGAGGGTGTCTGAGGTTGTAACTCTTTATGGGAATAGTAAGCCCCATCTTTCTCCCAAGGAGCGGCTGGTGATTTCAAACTGCTGGCTTTATGGTTTGCAGCCCAACACATAACCACTATACCACCAGGGCTCTAGCAGGGCAAACTTGACTACCAGGCCCAAAGGTTGGCAGTTTGAATCTACCCAGAAACACCTTGGGAGACAGGCCAGGCAGTCTGCTTCTAAGAGGTCACTGCCTTGAAAGCCCATTGAGCAGTTCTACTCCGTAAATATGGGATCACCACGTTGGAGTCAATCCAACGGCAGCTACCGCTGACCACAAAGGGGGGGGTCCTAAGTATAGACGGACCTCCTTTCACTGCTCTTGACTCCGTGGTGCCTCACTGATGCTGCATCTGTATTACAAGCTGAAGGTTTGTGGGGACCCTGCTGGGAGCAAATCATAGCGGGACCATTTTTCTGACCCTAAGTGCTCATTGCACATCCATGTGTCACCTGTTGATTCTTCTCACAGTGTTGCACACGTTTCCATACTGCTCAGTGCTCTTAGCAGACAGCCATACAGCATACACAACATATTTTCTAGGTGGAAAACCAAAAAGATGTGTATGACTTCCTGTATGGCAATATTCGCTTTATTGCCATGATTGGAAGCTGCAGTTCTCCAAGGGATGCCCGGGGTACCTTAATCAGGGCACGTGAAGGATGTGGGGGCAAGAAAAATAGATAAAAACAATATTAAGCATAAAGCAAGATGGGAATAATCAAAATAAAATATTCCAAGTTGTAAATGGATCTCTCCATAATCAGACCAAAGTGCCGTGGTGGTGTTAAGGGGGGTGGCGGGGCACGGTGCACAAGACTCAAAACTCAAAATTGCAAATATCTGGAAGGAAGGAAGGGCCAGGAGACCACTTCATGGCTAAATCTGGAGCAAACATCTACCTCTCATCAGAGGGATTGGACGCCCTGGATGTTTTCATTAGAAGTTATGACAGATGAAAAGAAAGGAATTTAGCATGCGTCTTAGGGAATTAGTGAAGGACTAGCAAGAGAATCTAGGAAGAAGGAAGGCCATCCACAGACAATTGCCTTTAAGCATGATTGGGAGTGCAAAAGGAAGCAATACAACATTCAAATTAGGAACCAGGAAGAAAACCTCCTCCTCGAGATACCATGGAACCAAACCAAACCCTTTCCAACTCAGAGCAACCTTCCAGGACACAGTAGACCTGCCCCCAGGGCTCCCAGGCTGTCCCGTTGATGGAAGTAATCTGCCATACCAGCAGTCCTCCCATTGAGAAACAGGCGGGTTCAAACCTTTTGTTTAGCCACTGAGCTAACTGCCTCAAGAGAATAGGGATAACTCTATGTTGTTGTTGTTGTTTTAAGGGCAATATTATGTGCTTTATACCACCTTGGAGTGTTAAAAACCAACTGTGTCACCATGGAGTCCGTGTGGATTCCAGGTGACCCCATTGGTGGCAGAGTGGAACTGGCTGATTTCATAGCTGATGTTTCCGTAGTAGATTGACAGGCCTTTTTTCTGAGTCACCTCGGGGTACTTAGGACTTCCAGCATTTTTGTTAGCTGTTGAGCACTTGACCCAATTGCACGGCCCAGGGACTCTTCAGTCATTCATCCAGGTGCCCAAATGCTTGATAACATGCTGTTTTGTCTGTACTAAGGGTTTCTCTCCTTGGCCTGTCAAATTGGAGCCCCTAGCCCTTCAGACCTTGGGACCCACCACCTGTATTCAGAATGATACCAGGTAGTTTCCTGGAGGGAACCTTTTTTTTAATGCATCATTCATGATAGCCCTGTGAAGTAGATGAGACAGGCATTTCCGTACACCCACCCACACAATACAACCTTAATAAATAAGGACAGACAAGAGGGTTGTTTTTATTTTCTTTCTTCTTCTGCCCTGTGTCTGTGCATCGAAAGCAAAGCCCGTTCCTCTTAACTGTAATTTGCTTGATTAATCAAATGAATTCAGAATAGTACTCTGGAAATGGTCCTGCAGCATTCATCAGTGTTATGAGAAGGGTTTCCAATAAGAAATTAATTGGAATTTTTTTTT